TCATAGTGGATTTTGCCCTTACGTTTATGCTTCGCACTTTGACTACCAGGTCTACGAGATATCCCATGAATTATCTACCCCGCCAAACCCGCGCGATATTTGCGGACGCGGGTCCAGCGACGAGCTCACCAGCGACGGCCCATTGCACTGACGCGAACGTGTTTTTCTATTGCGGGGCCTGGGGTGCATGCCCCATAAAGTGTAGAGTTGATCCATTTTTGTGCTGACCCAAATATGGTCATAAAATAGTCTGCAGTCCAATGATATCTAGCACATTCTAACATGTAAGTGTATTCGATCTGATTGTCCAATGGCTACTGACCGTTCAGCTAGGGCTTCAAACTAGATATGTACGCCGCGTTGTACTGTCCACGATACTTCTTCACCAGCTCCTTACTGAAGCTGGGCACTACTGTGTTCCCTCCCTTCAATAATCGAGCGACTTCTGTTGGATCCTTCTTCTCATTCCACCACCTATTGAGCAAACCAGCTCGCAATCGGTCGGCGGTGGCAACAGCGAGGTCATCTCCGCTGCTCAGCCCAGTGTTGACAGCCTGCATCAGCTTTTCTTGCCCATATTTGGTCACGAGTAAGTTGACTCCATAGGTATCGTGACCTCTTTGCTTGGCGGTCAGCTCGCTGAATCTGACGTACATGGGCAGCCCATCCGCTTTGAACAGAGTATTCTCCCACTTTGTATTTACCTGAGAGGTGAATACATCATCGAGTGTTTTCTTGTCTTTCACGAAACCATTGATCATCCTCACGGCTTCCGAGCTCTTCTCCTCAGGCATCTCCTTAACGGCCGTTAGTTGCTTCGGGACCGGTTTCACCGCATTCGTCGCCACCTTCGAGTCAGCCTTCGCTATCACCTTCGGATCAAGCTTTGGTGAGGTTACCAGATCGTCAGCCTTCGCAAGCACCTTCGGGTCAACCTTCGGCGAGTTTACCAGATCATCAGCCTTCGCAAGCACCTTCGGGTCAACCTTCTTCTTCCGCCTGGTCAGTTTACTAGATAATTTGGTAAAGAACTCGGAAAACTTCCCCCTCTCTTCTTCCAATTCGTCGTTGGGTTCCATCACCTTCTCTGCTCTCAGTGAACTCTTCAGCACTCGATCAAGCTGGACGGTAGGGTTCACCTCTTTGGACTCGGTTTCCATCGAAGAGCCCTCCACACTTGCGAGCAGAGTTGCGACAACAAAAGCCACGACATAGTAGAGATGCATTATCGTTCTCGGTGGGATTCTCGCTGCTAGGAGCTAAAGGGAAAGTGAGAACTTGGTACGTACCGGTAGTATGTAATGTGGTTCCACGTTGTACCGACATTGTTTACGACAATTCTAGGAACGAAGCATGGATATTGTCAATCGTAATATCGGGATTACATCAATTTCGTTATGGTCGCCCACTATTAGGTGTTGATAAACAACATCTAGTCAGTTGGGTAAGATTTGGCACCGACACTCCGCAACAGGCGTTTCATATAATACTATAGATAATACAAAATAAAATGTTTTTTGTGTAATTTCTCCAGATCTTGGGATTATCATTCAAAAATCCTTATCTATATATACATTCGAATAAAACCAATACATGTACCATTTCGGGAAAGGACCTCGAAGTACAAGTTTGAGTACCGGTGCACTATTCTCTTTTAACGTTTATTGTATTGCCAGTGACTTTTGCCACCTGAAACAACCATGGTCGTTGTCAAGTACGTGCTAACCTGGTTCAGTCAGTACACTATTCGCACCCTGTGTCCGTGTCTTTCCGCAATGTTGGTACATTTCTTCTGTATCAAATAGGTATCCGTTCGACTCACAGTAAGCATCATAAACGAATAGCTTACGAGCCCAGCGACAAGCTCACTAGCGAACGGGCCCGTTGCATTCTCCGGTTCATGTTTTTTTTT